CCCGCCCAGCCCTCCCGGTCTCCCTCGCCCGTCTGCTGGATGAAGGCGGCGGCGGGGCCCGCGAAGCGCGCAGGGGGGCTGGTGGCGGTGCCCCACCGGGCGCAGGAGGAGGAGGAGGCGGCGGCGGCGGGAGCAGCAGCATCGGGAGCTCCGGCGCAGCTGGGCTGGGGGCGACGGAGGGGTCGGAGGAGGAGGCGGCGGCGGCGGCGGGGGTCCGGCCGGCCATGCCCGGCTCGCTCTACCAGCTGGACGGCGGGGAAGGGGCCGGCTGCCCCCCGCCTGGCCTGGGGGGGCTGCTGAGCCCGCGGCGCAGCCTCCCCGACGGCCCCCCGGAACATCCCGCCCAGCCGCTCCCCACCGCGGAGGAGGAGGAGGAGGAGGGCGCGCTCCAGCTCGCCCTGGACCAGCTCTCCATCTTGGGCGAGGAGGAGGAGGAGGTGTTGGAGGAGGAGGAGGAGGAAGAGCCCGAGGAGGCGATGGAGGCGGCGGCCGGGCTGCTGGAGCCCTTCGGGGCGGCGGCGGGAGGAGGCGTGGGGGGCTTCGCCCTGCTGGAGCCCGACGGCAGCCCCCCGGCCGAGCTCTTCGCCGCCTTCCCGGGCTCGCTGCTGGGCGGCGGCCCGCACCCGGCCCAGCCCCACCTCCTGGCCGGCCCGCTGGGCATCATCGGGAGCCGCAAGAAGAGTGTCAACATGACCGAGTGCGTGACGGTGCCCAGCTCGGAGCACGTGGCCGAGATCGTGGGCAGGCAAGGTAAAAAAAAGGCGGGGGTGGGAGAGAGAGACTCGAACCCGGCACTTGGGGCCGGGGAGGGCTTTTGCGAAGCGAGTGGGACGGCGGGCCCATGCAATCTCCCGCGTTGCTTAGGCACTCCCACCAGTGTTCCCTCTAAGCTGAGTGAGTGTGAGCTAGCTCACCGTTTTTTTTAGCCTCTGGCGCGCACATTTTTTGTCTCAGCTCAGGAAGGGATGGCTCCAGAGCAAACTGATTGATGCAGCAGCCAAATCACTCGCTCACAACTTTATTGCCAGGAACTCACAGAGTAGAATATTTGCTTAGAGGAAGCATTGACTCCCACCCCCCTGGGGCTCCCATCTCTCCAGGAGAGTTTTCCTAAACACTTTGGGGAGGGGGGGGTCCCTCTTGCTCAAAAGCAAAGCTGGGAGTTTGTGTTTTTTTCCCCCCCCAGGTGGGTTCCCGTAAAAAGAGGCAGCCCCTTTCTGGGCCTTACAGATAATGCCTGGTGGTAGGCCAGTTTTTAAATTGATGGGGATGGGGTGCATTAACTGTGACTTCGTGGAAAGTGGGGGCACAGGCTAAGGGGAACCCCAAGAGAACAGGTTTAGAGTCCAGCGGCACTTTTAAGACCAACAAAGGTTTATTCAAAATATGAGCTTTCGTGTGCAGGGTACGCTTTTTGCAAATCCATCGCCTTGCACCAAAAAGTGCGCCTGGCACACAAAAGCTCACCCCTTGAATAAACCTTTGTTGGTCTTAAAGGTGCCCCCGGACTCTAAAATTTGTTCCTGCTCCTTCAGACCAACAGGGCTGACCACCTGGATAAACCCCAAGAGTTATATCTGCCATACAGGAATCACGGGTGTTTCCATAAAGGGGGAAACGGGGCTTTGCCCCTAGCTTTGTGTGTATAAAATTTGGCTTTCTCATTATTCTCCACCCACCCTTTTTGGAGGGTATTGTTATTCAAAAAAGAAAAAACATAGACTCTGGGAGATGCTATAGTGGCCGGGCCTAGCCTGCTAGGCTTTTGAGTCCCTTTAAAACGACTTTGTTCTTCTCTGGGACAGGGCTACGAAGGGGGAACGAAATGCTTTGAACTTTGGGGCTTGGGAAGCAGGGTAGAACTGAAACCCAAACATCTGAAATCACCCCCTCCCCCCCGCCCACCCAACGTACTCAGCCCCTTTACAAAAAAAAGGGACGGGAGAGTCCACGCATCTCTACGGATGTCCCAGGAGAACCTGGCTTTTGTTTGTCTGCCGAAAAGTAAAGGCAAGGCAGTACATAAGGCTAGACCCCCAACTGCCTTCTGTCCATGTGCAGAGTTTGCGCCTTTATCCGGCCGACGCCCCTTGTTTCGGAAAACCTGGGGCAGATTGCTATAGACGTCTTGGGGGAATCTGTCTCCCGAGGCCCACCTTTTGGGATTATTTTTTAAAATGAACGCGAAAGATCTGTTAAGAGGGGATTGTGAATTGTGTTCGGAAGGGGGTTTTGGGAGGAGGGGGGAATTCTCATTGCAAAAAAATCGGGCATCAAACCGGGCATCAAGAAGACAGTAAATTGGATTCAACTTGGATCCCTCCTTCCCCATTAACCTTCCCTCCCCCCCTTGTGTCTGAATACACATTAATGCAAACAATCTTTTCTTTTTTGCTTTAAAAGATAATGAAAATGTACAGACCCTAACCCTTCCCTCTTTCCCAGGGGGAGCTATAGCTGCTCCCACCCACCTCCTTTTTGCCCAGGAGGACTCCCACAGTTGTTTTGCAATATTCCTGCGTCTGTCTGTGTTTCCACCTTTGCAACCCACGTGGGTCTTTTCTCCCCCTGGCCGTAAAGTGGGGCAGGTTGTCTGCCCCATTGTTCGCTTTGTTAGCACAGGCCATGCTGTGTCCAGCACGGTGACATCACACTCCCGGTTTCCTATTGGGCAATTCAGGGAATGCCAGCCCCCCCTTTCCTCCTCCTTTTCCTCCTCTCCCCCCACCCTCCTCGCAGCTCTCAACTATATTTAGTCCATGTATCTTCTCTGCCAACTTTTCTGCTTCCCCTACCAGTGTGTGATTTCTGGAAAATGTTAATGTATTTCCATGGGTGCCAGGAATCTGTTCTGCCTGGAAGCGGCGACCTCCAATCTGGGATCCGTGGCGCACGGGAACCCCCTGGGGTTCCGAGTCGCGCTCGAGGTTCTGTCTTCGCCTGATGCAGACTGGAGTTCTGGTTCTGCAAAGATGCACCCAGAGAGATTGAATCCAGTGGCACCTTTAAGGCCAACAAAGTTTAATCCTGGGTATTCGGCATGCATACGAAAGCTTATGCCCGGAATTAAACTTTGTTGGTCTTAAAGGTGCCACTGGACTCAAACTTTGTTCTGTTGCTTCAGGCCGACACGGGTACCCAGCTGAACCAAAGAGCTGAAGTGAGTGCACCATACGGCAGAGCAGGGCTTTTTTGTGTGGAAAAAGCCCAGCAGGAACGCATTAGCATATTAGGCCACACCCCTGAGAGCACAGCTTATTGTCATTATACGCCACACCCCCATGTTACCAGAAGTGTGCTCATCCAGCCACACCCACCTTTTGCTTCTTATTCTGTTGACCTTGTTTGTTGTCCAAACCCAGGGCCTTTTTTTGTAGCAGGAACTCCTTTGCATGTTAGACCACACACCCCTAATGTAGCCAATCCTAATGAGTGTCTGCTGTTGGGTGTGGCCTGTTATGCTAATGAGTTCCTGCTGGGCGTGGCCAACTCGGGAGCCAGCCGGAACTCCGTTCCTGTGCGTTCCTGCCCAAAAATAGCCTTGCGGCAGAGTACACGGATGCTGAGATTGTCTTCTGCAGAACCAGAGCCTGGGTCCACTTAGCACAATCTTGCCGTCCCGGGCCCTCGTCACTTCTGCAGTGCCTCAAGCAGAGGAGCCTCTTTCCCAGCACATAAGAACGTAAGAGAAGCCATATTGGATCAGTGGCCCATCCAGTCCAACACTCTGTGTCACACAGTGACCAAAACCCAGGTGCCTTCAGGAGGTCCACCAGCAGGGCCAGAGCTCCAGAAGCCCTCAAGCTATTGACCCACCCAAGCACCAAGAATACAGAGCATCACTGTCCCAGATGTAAGAACATAAGAGAAGCCATGTTGGATCGGGTCAATGGCCCATCCAGTCCTGTGCCACACAGTGGCCAAAAACTAAGTGCTGTTCAGAGTTCCAGAAACCCTCCCACTGTTGCCCCGCCCCCAAAGCACCAAGAATGCAGAGCATCACTGCCCCAGACAGAGTGTTCCATCTATGCCTTGTGGCTAATAACCACTGATGGACTTCTGCTCCATATGTTTATTCAGTCCCCTCTCGAAGCCGTCCATGCTTGTAGCCACCACCACTTCTTGCGGCAGTGAATTCCGTGTTTTAATGACTCTTTGGGTGAAGAAGTACTTCCTTCTGTCTGTTCTAACCCGACTGTTCAGCAATTTCATGGAGTGCCCACGAGTTCTTGTATTGTGAGAAAGGGAAAAAAACCTCCTTCTTTCTCTCCCTGCTCTGTCCCATGCATCATCTTGTAAACCTCGATCACGTCACCCCTCAGTTGTCGTTTCTCCAAGCTAAAGAACTGTAACCTCTTTTACCTTTCTTCACAGGGAAGGTGTCCTTAAATCATTTTAGTGGCCTTTTTCTGCACTTTTCCCAATGCTGTAATCTCTTTTTCTTTGAGGTGCAGTGACCGGCACTGTACACAGTACTCCAAATGAGGTCGCACCATCGATTTATATAGGGGCATGATGATAACTGGCTGATTTGTTTTCACTTCTCTTCCTAATAATCCCAAGCATAGCATTTGCCCTTTTTATTGCTGTCGCACACTGGGTCAATGTTTTATTTTATTTATTTTTCACATTTGTATCCCGTCCTCCCCAGTGGGCTCAGAGCGGCTAACAGGGGCAAGGTCATTAGCCATGCCATAGGTAAAAACATAGTAAAAACATCCAAACACTAAAACCACAGTACTCAATCCATTACTAGTATCCTAAGTCCAAGATGGTATCACCACAGTTCCAGATGGTACTCGCATGGTGTACGTGTCCAGTGGCGACGGCTTATCAGATCTTCTACAATTTCCAGGTTCTTCCTCGGGCCTCGTCGATGCATCCTTTAAGATACCTTGACGGTGGTGGTATAATGGGGCGGCGGCTCCTACTCAAAGGCCTGGCGGAAGAGCTCCGTCTTGCAGGCCCTGCGGAACTGCACAAGGTCCCACAGGGCCCGGATCTCCCCCGGGAGCTCGTTCCACCAGGTAGGAGCCGTCACCGAAAAAGCCCTGGCCCTAGTCACAGCTAGTTTGGCGTCCTTGGGACCCGGGATGACCAACAAAGTTTGGGTCCCCGACCGTAGTGCTCTTGGGGGAACATGTGGGTCGAGGCTGTCCCTCAGGTAGGCTGGAGTTTCAGTGAGTTACCTACCATGACTCCGAGGTCTCTCTCCTGGTCAGTTACTGTCAGTTTGGGCCCTATCAACATGTATTTATAGTTAGGATTTTTGGCCCCAATGTGTATCACTTTGCACTTGGCCACACTGAACCCCATTTGCCACATTGACACCCACTCGCCCATCCTCGACAGGTGCCTTTGGAGTGCCTCACAATCTTCCCTGGTTGTCACCACCCTGTACAGCTTAGTGTCATCCGCAAACTTAGCCACTTCACTGCTTACTCCCAACTCCAAATCATTAATGAACCAGTTAAAAAGCTCCTGACCTAGTACCAAGCCCTGTGATACCCCACTGCTTACCACCCTCCACTGTGAAGACTGCCCATTTATACTCTCTCTTTCTTGTTAACTAACGAGTTTTTAATCCACCAGAGGACTTTTCCTCTTATCCCCTGACTGCTGAGTTTACTTAGGAGCCTTTGATGAAGAGGAACTTTATCAAAAGCTTTCTGGAAGTCTAGGTAAGCAACATCGACTGGGTACCCCCTCGTCCACGTGTTTGCTCACCCCCTCAGACAACTCTACCCCTT